AAAAAAAAAAAAAAAAATCACCCAAAAGCATGCGCCTAAAGTTATAAGGCCGACTGGAATCTTTAATTTGATATGGGAGAATAATTTACCTACTTAAAATGAGCAATTGATTATTTTAAGCCAAAATCTATTTACTTTTAAAAAATTCAAAATATGTCTGCTGTTATATTATGTGTATGAAAATAAATAAATAAATTGGAGGTGTATCTAATTAAAAAGAAACAAAAATAAAAAATATCGTGATTTGAAAATCGACAATTTTGCTAATATAGTAAATTAATGACAAGTATAGCATATACAATCCATAATGTTAGTAGGTAATTTGGATTAATAATACCTCTATTGATTTGTATCTCAGTGATTTAATACATATCTCTAAACAAAGACAAGTTTAACATTAATAACATCTCTAATGATTAAGCGTCCATTCATTAATAATCCCTCTAAACAAATTGTTGGAATAATGTAACTTTAGATTTATACTTATTATTCATATTGATTTTTAAATATGTGATAAAATTTTACCAATATATATATACATATATATATATATATATATATATTCTTTTATGGAATCATATTATAGTCAGATCGAATTTTTAAATAAAAACTTTAGAATAATACTTATTTTGAAATGAATAAATATAATATATTATCAGTTACGTGTATCGTACGAGTTATGCACTAATTTTAAATAGACATGGGTAACAACAAAATTCGTGTATTGAATTTAATAAACACGAATAATATTTTACAATCTCTATATTCTCATCCGATTCTTTTCACGAACGATTTTGAGTCGTGAAGCGAAATTTTTGGGTTGATCTTCCCCTTCACTTGATTTGACTTCAATTAGCATTAATTCCAGGGTCAACGCCTTAATTTGGATCAAACATTGTAATATTATGATAACATGTTTTATGTAATTTTGCACAATTGGATCAAACGTTGTAATATTCCAAGAATATGTTTTATGTAATTTTGCACAATTTAAATTTCATATAACATTTTCAATAAATTAATATAGGTAAATTTTATTACATATTAATTACACATTTTTAATTTATAGATATTATTTAACAAGAGTTGTTAATTTATAAATTTTAATGAATATCTCTTACCCGTGCACGGGATTCATACTAGTTAGCTTGTACAAGAGAACATAGATTTTGTATGTTTAAAATATTACAAACACCTAAAATAATATATTAACATATGTAAAAATATCTGAAATTTTTTATATTTATTATTAATATATGTGGAGTCACCTACAACTTTTCCAAATTATTTTGAAAAGAAAGCATGTCTAAAAATATTAACTTTCATTTTGTATAAAATATGTTTTCTAAACTTTTTTTTAAAAGAAAACATTCTTAAAAATATTTAAAGTTAATAGTATATGTATATGCGTATATGTATATGTATATATAGATAGAATATGACGTGATAAAATATTATATAAAAGTATCTATAATATTATAAGTTTAAATAAAGTCATTATAAAGTTTCTGGAAGAAAATTTACATAGTATATATAAATAAATATTGACATGATTATGACGGTACCTAAAAATTTGTTAATAGAATATTTCAAAACTATTATTATTATTTTTTAAGTAATTTGAGTACAAAAAATTTAAAAAATATTATTATTTTGTAGTTACTGTAAAAGATTTTTGTACGCATACAATTACATGCTATATGCAGATTTATCAATTTTACAAATAAAATGGTATTTATTATATATCTAACTGAGATTAAAACAGAATTGTTACCTCAAAAGAAATTTTGTACACATACCAAATCCACACATAATGCACATTTATATCCACATTCAATTTTACAAATGCAAATCGAGAGATTAATGCAAGCCATAACAAATAAAAATAGACTTTATATTTAACTGAGATTAAGATAAAAATTGAAGACGATATTTCATTTTGTATTGTTTCTATTAATTTTTATCTTATTTATATTTCTATTAACTTTGTATTGTATATATTGAATATTTTTGGGGGAGAAATATATGATAAATTTTATTTTATTTTACTATAATATATATATATATATATATATATATTAAACACATCTAAAATATTATCACATATATAAAATGTATCAAAAAATTCTATATTAGTCTTGAAATATGTTTGAAGGCACCTAATTTTTTTTATAAAATATCATGTAAAGAAAACATGTATAAAAATATTTATGTTTAACCTCCATACATGTACATGTATCCTCCATATATACTTAATCATTGTCCAAATAATGTTTAAAATATCTAAAATATTATATAAGTTAATAATATTAATAATTAGATAGATAAAAATTAGCTTTTTTAAAAAATACATAAAGAATTTGTGTTGCTAATGAGATGTTGAATTTGAAATTTTACATAATCCTTGCTCTGAGGAAGTTTAAATGTATCAATTTTCTTTGTTGTACAGGTGCAAAATAAAACCTATATTTATAGTTTAGATTTTTTGTTGTTTTACGGAAACAAATTCCTTAATTAAAGAAATCATGTATCTTCAAGCAGTCGACATCTATATACATTCTTTACAATTAATTTTAAATTTTGAATTTGAGAAGATTTCTTATCGATGACTGAAAAAATAATTTTTATAATTTTAAATCAGCCATATCTTCAATTTTACAATGTTTTGAAAGCACATAAGAATTTTTTTAATTTTAAGTGTACCGTAATTTTAAATCAGGCGTAAATGAAAAATAAAAACTACAAATGTGTTACATGATTTTGTGTAAAAAAAATGTTTGACCATTTGAATATTAGATCAACACTAATTAACACTAATTAATTAAGCACGATTTTTTTTAAAATAAAATAACATCGGCCACAATTAATGGGCAGCATTCACGATTTCTTAAAAAGCAAATAACAATATACTGAATTATTGGATAGCATTTAACGCTGCCATTTTTCTAAAAAAACAAAAAAAATATTTATAGATTAGTTTTATATAATTAAATAAAAGTTAAAAAATATTACTCGATAAATATTAATTATAATGGATATCAGTAAAATCATTGCATAAATTATTTAAGGAAAAAATCTTTAAGATCATATATGGATAATAAATGTAAATATGCAAGCATTTAATGCATATAGTAAAAAATTTCCAAATAAGTTATGCATAAATGTGTGTTGACTTTTCTTGCTACTATTTTTGGTAAATAGGTTGGCTTTTAATCAATGTAATAAAAACCGGACCGGTCATCGAACTGGTCAAGCTACTGGTTCAATGGTTCACTGGTCCGGCCAGTGGTTGAACCGGTTGGACCGTTATTTAATTTATTAATATTTTTAAATATTTAATATATCATAAATATAGTTAACCTAATTTTTAAGTAATTTAATTTATTGATTTTTTAAAATATATAATATTATATAAATAATAGTTAACTTAATAGTCATAAATAGTAACCCAAATATCTTATAGTCATATATGATATATATACTATGGAAAAATAAAATTTCCTCCTACACTAAATTAAGGAATAAAATAATAGCACAAGAAAATGGAAAAAGAAAACTCCTCCCAAACTCCACGCTGTTTTAACAGTTGGAATTCAATTTCTTATAGTACATGTTTGTCCCACATCGGATGACTTACAAGATGAGTTGTTGTATAGAGTGTGTCATTGGTTCAAAAAAAAAAAAAAAATTACTGACCGGTTGGACCACCGTTTTTTTGACCGGTTTTGGCCGGTTCAACCGTCCTTTGACCTGTTTTTGACCGGTTTTGGTAACAACCGATTTATTTAGAGAACCGGACCGTTGAACTGACCGGTTCCCGGTTCAACCGGTCGAACCGGTCGGTCCGGTCCGGTTTTCAGAACACTGCTTTTAATATACACTAGTACATACCCCGTGCGATGCACGGAACATAGATATTAAATGAGTTATTTTAACAGCCATGTCCGTTTAAATCTTAAAAGTAATAGTGTTATTATCTATTTTCTACCTCTTTTAATCAACGTTAAGTCAACAAAACAATAAGGTTATAAGCTTTTTTCATATCTTTTAACCAACATTGTTTTTTAGTCAGAACATTAAATATGAGTATGTTAGGGCTAGCTTGTAAAATAATTAATATATTATATCACTAAAATATTTATACTAATAAAACTTTAATTTCAGTATATAAATTTATCCCTTGATATAAGAAAAAGTAACAGTTTTGTCTATTCTTGTTCATCATATAATATTTAATTATTACTTTATTATATAATAAAAAAATAGTGTCAAATAGTTTTTTTTTAACACAAAGATAATATTAAAAAAATATAAATATTTCTACAAATATACGAACCAAGTTTTTTTAATAGTTTTTTATAAGTTTTATAAAAATATATTATAATTTGTTAGTGTATTATTCAGAATCGTAATATTGATTTGTAGTTTTTAGAAACAGAATTTTGATTGTTTTTG